CACCATTTGAGCCTCGCATTGGCGAATTCAATGACGTTGAAGGGTCTGGAAATTATTCCATCTCTGGCCAATAACAACCAGCTTCCGCTCCAAGTTAATTCGCATCGGGACAGCCCCCTGCCCCAACCTCCCCTACCCAGTGCCCGACACTGCCCCCACCTAATCTGAGCCACAGAGATCGTCACTTAACCGCACAGCACACGCAGCATATGACAGGAATTTATTCGAAATGAACTAATCACTCCGGAAAGCCCCCAATACTTGTCCTGATCCGACACACGTTCTGTTGCAAGCAAACACACATACACACGCACTGAAATGTCAAAACTGCGCCGTTAAATTCTCACGTCCGATGGTCTAGTTTGAATAAAGCTGCGATTAAAGGATTAGATGTCTCAACACCACAGAGCTCTAGTGGCTGTCGATTTTCACCCCGCTTGCGGAGATGCTCCACGGCCGTGGCACCAAAGTCTCTCTCTCTCTCTCTGCACATGTGTTCCTATGATCACTGTTTCATTGCTTTCATGGCTTTATTTTGGTGATTTCGAAAAGTGTATTGGTTTAGCCGTGTTTGTTTGTTGTAGTACAGAGTTAGACTGATGGCCTTAATCTAAGTTGTCTTGTGGTTGTTGTTGGTTCATCTTCTTGGTTCTTTCGGTAAAGTCACGTAGAAGGGAAGTAACCTGGTCTTCACCTGAGGACGGCTGCTTGCGTTGTGGCCGAAACGTCGTGAGAATTATTTTATTATGTTTTATTTTTATTATTTTATTACTTCTCTTCTACGTGACTTTACCGAAAGAACCAAGAAGATGAATCCCTGCAGTCATGAAAGCTTTAAATCGAAAAAAAATTGTTGTTGTTGTTGTTTGACTTGCATCTCACTGGAATACATACTTCACCTGGAATTGGCAACACGTGGCCACAAGGAGTGGTGGCTAGGTGGGTCAAGACTCACGAGATGATGAGTGGCAGCCGAGCGAGCGGACGTGCTCGGGAGCACGCCTATCGCGGAGATGGAGCGATCAAAATGCTCTCACGTGCGGCAACATTGTATGAAGGTTGGTCCGGTTGCAGGACAAATGAGAGATGCCGATGGCTGGAGGAAGCCTTCATCCAGCAGTGGTTAGAGCATGGCTGCTGCTGCTACTGCTGAAGATCGTGGTTGTGCAGAATTTCACCGTGAAGGCAGAAAAACGGCTCGTTCTGAACAAAGCATCTTGACGCACATTTTCGTTGTCAAACGATGAATCGTATCGCGCTCTCACTCGGTGATAACAGAGCGTTGTGCGTGTGGAAAGAGTGGCACATATTCAGATGGGGAGCGGCAGTGTAGCAGTTAGCTCACTGCGAACCCGGCGACCCGAGTTCGATTCCTGCTCACGGCCACCTACACCAGTGAAGAGGATCTCAACCCGGCCCTGGGCCTCCTCTACGTCGACTCAGCCTAAAAGGAGTACCCGGTGCGATGTGTAAATGCCGCCACTGGGGAGACAAAGGCGGTCGAGCGTGGTGCTGGTCACACATCCCCTTGTGTGCCGTGCCAGCCTTCAGGCAAGGCCTACTGAGCTATATAGGTATTTTTAGAAGCGATCTGGCCACAAATGATAGCTCAACGAAGTGGCTTACCACGTGGACATTTATAGCAGCCAAATCCTCTAAACGCGCGTTTATAAATGTGGTGGGATGAGCCGGAGAAAAATCCACGCAACCATGGGGGAGAGAGAGACACGCAAACTCCAAATACAGGCGTCGTCAGGGTCGGGATCAAACCCACGACTCGCGGCACCCTGAGAGGTAATTCACATCTCGCCACCGTGCCGCCGTTAGGGGTCGTCCATAAATGACGTCACGTACCTAGGGGGGGAGGGGGTCAGACAATTGTGACGATGTGTGACGAGGGGGGTGGGGGGGTTTGAGAAATGTGACGTCACATCAAAATGCGCAACTTTAAATAAATATAGACAACACGTTCTGCTTAATTAAATAGACTTTTTAATAAATGTTTTCTCCTACAACATCAGAGTGCAGCGCCACAGTAAATACGCACTACAATGACAATGATTTCAAGCGATTTGAAACATGTTTTATATTTGGGGGGGGGGGGGGGCAGAGCTTTGTGACGTCATATTTGAGGGGGGGTCTGACTTTTTGTGACGCCGTGTGACGAAGGGGGGGAGGGTCAACAATCGTCCAACGTCATTTAGGACGGCCCCTTATACGTTCCGTGTTGTGTCAAATAACGCGAACCACGCTGCCATCATCGTGATGAAGTGACCGGCTAAGTCACGCGCACTTTGAGCTGGGTGGCTCACGGTGCTAATTCCCGTGCCAGCTGGGGCAACGCTTCTAAATTAATGGAGGTCAAGCCCATTAGGTGCCGCGGTGGGGAGATGTCAACTACCTCGCCTGGTATGCTGGAGGTCGTGGCTTTGATCCCGACCCCGACGCCTGCTGCTGTATATTTGGAGTTTGCGTGTCTCTCTCTCATCATCATCACGGTGGCTAGGAGATGTTAACTACCTCGCCTGGTATACAGGAGGTCGTGGGTTTGATCCCGACCCCGACCCCGACGCCTGCTGTATATTTGGAGTTTGCGTGTCTCTCTCGTGGTCGCGTGGATTTTTCTCCGGGTCCTCTGGTTTTCCCCTCCACATTTAGAATGAACACGCGTTCAGAGTATTTGGCTGCGATACATTTCCACGTGAAAAGCCACTTCGTTGAGCTATCATTTGCGGCCAGGTCGCTTCTGAAACAGAGCGATAGAGCTCAGTGGGACTTACCTTGCAACATGAAAATAGTTTAGTAAATATTTTTTTAGTTTTAAGCAGCAGGAGGACAATAACACAACCGTACACGGGGTTTCATCCTCACTAGAAGTCATCGGTACTACAGCTGTACCATACCACTCTGCCTTGTGCCTTGGGGGCACTGCTAATTTAAACATAATTTTCTACCATTTCAGCCTGAGCACAGTATAATTGACGATAACGTGTGGCTTTTTAGTTGAGTCTTAGCCTGTGTATTTCATTATCTTTGTCCGGTTTAATAAATCAGTCAAGCAGTCAACTCTAAGCCATTAAATGTTCGAGATTTGAAGCTTTCGTGACTGCAAGGATTCATATTCTTAGGTTTTTTTCGGTAAAGTCACGTAGGTAAAAAATTTAAATTAATAAAAGTAAAATATCAAGTGATACAGCAATCGTGCTGTGACGGTTCCATCTGAAGACGGAAGCTTGTGTTGCCTCCGAAACGTCGTGATTTTTATTTTATTTTCATTTTACTTTTATTAATTTTAATTTTTTACCCACGTGACTTTACCGAAAAAAACTAAGAATATGAACCATTAAATGTTGGTCTGGGCATGCAATTCCTCCTCCACCCTCCACTATCATCGGCTCAACCAACATATGTTTCCCGACACATGAATCCAATAGCAAAGTGTCGTCCTCCTCGGTGTCCTGCAGTCTCCAACAAGGTGACTAAATTTCGATTTAAAGCTTTCGTGACTGCAGGGATTCATCTTATTGGTTCTTTCGGTAAAGTCACGTAGAAGTGAAGTAATAAAATAATAAAAATAAAACAATAAAATAATTCTCACGACGTTTCGGCCACAACGCAAGCAGACCAGGTCTGTCGGGGAGACGCTGTGGCCGAAACGTCGTGAGAATTATTTTATTATGTTTTATTTTTAAATCCTTTATATTAAGTTCGCTTGCTTGCTTGCTTACGACCGTGAAAATCTTTCGGTCGTTTTTAACCCACTTCCCGTGATCCAATCGAGCTGACATTTTGCACACAGACTCGTTGTGCGAGACAATTAATGTTCGTGAAAATTTTTTTCCAAAATTTTACACTGTTTAGGGGAAACATTTTAAATATTTAATTACCAATTGCTTAATGCTGGCAGACAATCATCTGACCCATAGGTGGCAGCCATCTCAAGCCAGAAGACAAGAGGACTCTAGCCGCCACGCATATAAAGGATTTAGAGTGAAAAACTTTGTTTTTACGGGTTAATTTTTTTTCTCATTCTCCCCTGAGCCATCGTTGGCCCAAAATACAAAACAACGACTTGGCAGGGGCCGAGGGAGGGCTCCGTTCAGCAATGAAAGAGATCGTGGCTGCCGCTAACGACGACGACGACAAATGGCACCGTCTCCCGATGTATATTTCGACCATCGTTGATCGTTAACATTTTGTATGACAACAAAGCAGGTTGGTAAATGTCCGCTAATTGAATCCTAAGGTGCTTTTCCCCTTCGGATCAAAACAGCAGACTGCCGCTAATCGGCTTCGAAAGGTACGCATGCAAATTGTGTGTAATGCTATTAGCAATCCGCATGCACTGGAGCTTTATTTTGCCGGGAAGGTAGCGGACCCCACTTCGCTGTAGCCAGTTGCCAAACATGCCGATTGGTGCCGGCTGGTTGGATCCCACGGTTACTCACTTGAGCCCTTCTTTTGAAATTCCGTCTCTCGCGTCTTCTAGGAATAACGGGAGGGCAGCGAATGAGCCACGACAGTAGGTCAGGGGAAAACGAGGACTGACAATTAGGAAGGAAGATACGGAACATTTGGGGAGGGGGACAGAGGACAAATGCAGACTATCCTAAAATAAAAAAAAAACATATTTCAGATTGCAAGAAGTTAAAACAATAAGTGCGAAATAAAAGTGAAGAGGATTTTATGTTTTTATTACACAGAAAATAAAAATAAGACGAGAAAGAAATGTTCATGAGCAACAAACCTAAGAATTAACAAAAAAATTAAGTAAATACCAAGACTAGAAGTAAAAACGGCAGGAGTCGTAACAATTAAGGAACCAGATTCAAGCTAAACAAATACACATCACGTGCTAAAACGTGCTGATGCAGTAACGGACGACAACGCAGACAAGAGAGTGGCTTTTCTTGTATATTTACTCATCGAAACGCAAACGAAAAAGAGGACACAAAAACCGCGAAGGACAAGGACCACCTCCCGAAAGCGCCGCCGCCCAGATGTGCGACATGGACTGCCTGGAGAACCTGATCGCCAACACGGCGTACCTGGAAGCGCGCAAGACCGGCGACGGAGGCGCCAAGGAGACCGCTCGCCGGAGCATCGCGCTGCCCACCCGGGCGCAGGGCCAGAGTTTGCGCAAAACCATGCCGGACTCGAGCGTCGACTACGGCTCCGTGTGCGAGACTCAGCCGATCGGCAGGCACTTCTTCCGCAAGTTCCTCGACTCGCAGCCGCAGTACTCGAGCGTTGTGGCTTTCGCGGACGCCGCCACCAAATTCGAATTGGCCGAGGAGGATGACGGCGGTGGGCGTGGGGCGATGCTGAACGAGGCGCTCGCGTTCCTGCATCGGGGCGGCTCCGGCGAGCGGCCGGCGTTCGTGAGCGACGCGCTCGCCGCCGCCGCGGGCTCGCAGGACGCGACGGAGCGAGAGGCGGCGGTCGCGCTCGCCAAGCGAGAGATGAGGACGTTCCTGTCGGGCGAGCCGTTTCGCGAGTTTCTCGAGAGCGACTCCTACGAGAAGTTCCTCCAGTGGAAGGTGCTGGAGGGGAAGCCCGTGACCGACAAGACCTTCTACGAGTTCCGCATGCTCGGCAGAGGCGGCTTCGGAGAGGTGAGCAGACGAGGTCGAGGTGACCGAGTCTGGTATCGTCCACCAACGTCGGGTGCCCCAGATGTTATCCGCCCAAGGCCCCCGAGCGAGCTCCCTTTTTAGGGGTCAACTCTGATAATGAAATTGATTGGTCCACACCCGAGACAGCTTTCTTTAGAGCCTAGTCTCACATGGTGTTGGACCAGACGAAGCCAAAAGGCGCACAACTCAAAGACAATGCACCATCAGAGTATGAGAGCTCGGGTTAAGCATTTACACTATTGGAACCTCCTTTGCCAGTAGCAAAATATGATAATTGTTTATTTTACCCTTTTATCTGGCAACAAAACTGACACCTTTTTACAAGGAGCCATGTTTGCATTTTTTTTTGCATTCCGACCGCAGGTATCGTGGTCAATGCAAACATGACTCCTTGTAAAAAAAAGTGTCAGTTTTGTTGCCAGTTAAAAGGGTAAAAAAACAATTATCATATTTATTTAACAAGGTAAGGCCCAATAAGCTATACAGCTCTTTTTCAGAAGCGACCTGGCTGCCACAAATCTTCAGTTCAGTTTATTTGGAAGTTCCTGTGAGCGAGGAAGCCCTCAAGTCGGGTTTCACCAACACAAATGCACCGTTCCCATGACAGACATGACACATCAGAGAAATTCTAGATTTGAAGCTTTCGTGACTGCAAGAATTCATATTCTTAGGTTTTTTCGGTAAAGTCACGTAGGTAAAAACATTAAAAGGTAAAATAAAATAAAAATCACGACGTTTCGGAGGCAATCTCTCATTTACTTGATACAGCTGTCGTGGCTGTGACGGTACCACCTGAAGACGGAAGCTTGTGTTGCCTCCGAAACGTCGTGATTTTTATTTTATTTTACCTTTTAATGTTTTTACCTACGTGACTATACCGAAAAAACCTAAGAATACATCAGAGAAATATGAATGAATACTACAAATGAATGAATGAAACACGTGGTAATAAATCATAGAATTATAAATATAAAATGTATCTTTGAAAAGTTTTGGTCAATTCAGAAATAAAAACGAGTGGAAGATTGGGCATAACGCGTTGCAGTGGAAAAACACACCATTTCCAAAGAAACACTAAATTTAAATCTCCAAAAATATATTAAAGTTATAAATGCGCCATCAATCAACAACGACATTGCACCGAGCAAAACACAGCATCGTTGCAAAAAAAAAGAGAGAGTAGTGCGGACAAGACAAAAGAGGTCACTTACAGGCAAGCGATATCCACATATCGTCTAGGTATTTATACAGTGGCAGCTAGGCAGGAGTTCACTGTAAAGGAGTGATTTAAAGTTACTTGAGTGATTGCAGTGAATGCGGAGATAATCTTGTGGCAATATTATTACAAAGACGGAGGCTGGGCAGCCACTGTAAAAACCCGTTCACAGAAATCTTGTTCTTTATCTCGGACAATTCAACACAGAGCCGGCCCTAGACCTTTGGGGACCCTAAGCAAAATTTGGTTGGAGGCCCCTTTGATGTATGATTTTTTTCACCCACTCGCTAGCAGTGACTCTAGGGGGCCCTCTGCTGGCCACGGGGCCCTTTGCAATTGCAAGCGTCGCTTAGTGGCTGGGCCGGCTCTGATTCAACAGAAAGAATAATGGACTCCTTATGTTTGATCTGCTTTCCCGCGGTGTCAACATATCCAACGCATATTCTGCCGAATTGCCACGTAGGATGTTGCGAATGAACGCGGCCCGGCGAATCGTCGTGCGGTCATGGAGGGGAGCTTGTTAATACAGGTCGCAATCGTGGCTCTTATCGGGGGCATCCAGAGAAAATCTTAGAGCAGAATGACGTCGTGGGGGTTCAGCTGGTTTAACGTGGAACTGGAAGCAGAATGGTAAACAATGTCGCAGTATATTTTTCGATTTAAAGCTTTCGTGACTGCAGGGATTCATCTTCTTGGTTCTTTCGGTAAAGTCACGTAGAAGGGAAATAATAAAATAATAAAAATAAAACATATTTTATTAAACATTATTAAATTATGTTTTATTTTTATTATTTATTTATTTCCCTTCTACGTGACTTTACCGAAAGAACCAAGAAGACGAATCCCTGCAGTCACGAAAGCTTTAAATCAAAATATAATAATATTATATTACTATATCATATTATTTTATTACTTTGTTATATTATATTATTTTATTATATTATTGTATTTTGTTTTATTTTCATTATTTTATTATCTCCCTTCTACGTGACTTTACCGAAAGAACCAAGAAGATGAATCCCTGCAGTAATAAAATATTATTGTATTATGTTATATTTTTATTATTTTATTATTTCCCTTCTACGTGACTTTACCGAAAGAACCAATAAAATGTCGCAGTAATCAAGGCAGTACAGAAGCCCTGGCCACCTCGAAACGGAGCTTAGCTGGAAAACAGTTTTTTGTGTCGATAAAAAAGCCAGTTTATTTTTGGTTCGCAGTGTGGTCAATGTGATCCTTCAAAGTAAGTTTGGAGTCTATGATGACCCCCCCCCCCCCCCCAGGTAATTATTTTATCTGTTGCCTGATCAATTCGTTTGTTATCGAGCGTACAAAGCTGAGGAAGACTACTTGCCTGTTGTACTTTCCCTGGAGAGACACACATCACCTTTGATTTACAAACGATACCTCGACGAAGTGGCTTATCGCGTGGAAATGTACCGCAGACAAACACTCTAAACGCACGTTTTTAACCGCGAAGGGGGAAAAACGGAAGACCCGGAGGAAAAATATCCACACGACCACGGGGAGAAAGACACGCAACCTCCAAATATACAGCAGGCATTCATCTTCTTGGTTCTTTCGGTAAAGTCACGTAGAAGGGAAGTAATAAAATAATAAAAATAAAACATAATAAAATCTAATAATTCTCACGACGTTTCGGCTACAACGGCTGCTTGCGTTGTAGCCGAAACGTCGTGAGAATTATTTAATTTTATTATGTTTTATTTTTATTATTTTATTACTTCCCTTCTACGTGACTTTACCGAAAGAACCAAGAAGATGAATCCCTGCAGTCACGAAAGCTTTAAATCGAAATATACAGCAGGCGTTAGGGTCAGGATCGAACCTACGACCTCCTGTATACCAGGCGAGGTAGTTAACATCTCACCACCGGTGGCAAAGGGAGACACGTCCAGAGAGTCGTGCTGTGTGACTGCCTTGTTCTCTTAAGAACTTGCAAAAAAAGCGCTGAGCCAGTTGAAGCTGTGGATTTACAGAATTACTCGACTTTCCTAAAGCATAATCAGGGGCTCTCTCTCGACCACGGCTTCGCCGCGTAAGCCCCACTCCTCTCCAAATTCGCAGCCCTCGATCTGTTTCTGATTTGTGACCTCAGAGTGCCAGTGTCTCTTCAAATCACCGTTCTTTATTTAACCACTCAAGGGCTCAGCGAGGCTTTGTGATCATCCCTGCGATAGTGGGAACAAGCGTTGCTGATGTTTTGATTAATTTTCTTACAGGACTATGGTCGAGAATTGAAGCTTTCGTGACTGCAGAAATGATACTCATTGTTTTTTTCGGTAAAGTCACTTATGTAGTTTGCCATTCTCTGTGTGCTCTATACGTGGTGTCCCCCTGTGTGTTCCCTCGCTATGGGTTTTACCCCATTTCCACCTGATGATGAGCGCCTGTGTTGCGTTCGAAACGTCGTGATTTATTTTATTTTTATTAAATTTATTAAAATTTAATTTTATTTCTACATACGTGACTTTAGCGAAAAAAACAATGATCAAGACTATACTCGTGTAGGAAAACTATTACAATCAAGCGCGAAATTCGTGACTGCAGGTTTATGGGTGAACCTTACATCCACAGGGTCGGTCCCAAACGGCAACACAACTTCAGACGAAAATGTTTTTGATCCCATGAGATATTTGTTTACGAGAGTTTAGTGTGACTCCCTATTACATTCATACATATGTAGTGGCTTCTACGGAGGCACACACTTGAACGTGGGGGCAACACGTTTATCACCACACCCCAACAGGGTAACTATATAAACGTAACAACGGGTTAACTAGACCACAACGGGGTAACTACATAACCGGGTCAGTCAGTAAAACACTGCCTGACCCACGATGCCGAGCGTAAAGAACGTAGACCGTGGACCGAAGAGACGTCGCACCGACGGGTTCCATTCCAACAGACAGCCACGATTGCTCTCGGGACCTCCCCTTTATGCTCCCGAGAGGCGTGGCCTCGCTCCGCCTTTGTCCACGCCTCCTTCTGGATCTCACCAGAAGGTTCTCGGCCGAGCATCACGTGCCCCTCAAGCCCCCCCATTGGCTCCCCTCGCTACCCTGTCCCGGTCACGTGCCCTCTCGGGTTAACCCAGACCGTCACCAGAACCATGCTCCCTAGGGCTCGTGGGGAGTGGTGGTGCAGTGGTTAGCGCGCTGCGCTATGAACTTGGCGACCTGGCTTCGATTCCCACTCACGGCAAACACCAGTGACGATTATCTAAAACCGGTTCCTGGGCCTCCCCTAGGTCGACTCAGCCTGAAATGAGTACCTAGTGCGGTGTGTAAACATCAACACTGGAGAGACAAAGGCGGTCGGGCGTGGTGCTGGCCACCCACCCCCTCGTGTACCGTTCTGGCCTTCATAGGTGCTCGCTAACAGCACTTGCCCCAACAGTCTGTTAAAGCTATACGGGGGATCTTTGTGAAAACGGTCATTTGTTGCCCTGGTTAGTGCCCGAGTGTTGGGCAATAACCTTTCGACCAATTTGCCCGGTTTTCAATCGGGCAAGTCCCTAATCACAACACAATCTTACACTCAGCTTTGGTCCATGCTGGGTCACCCTTTACCAGAGTTATCGTGGCTCCACGTTACAGAACTGATGGCAACATTTTGGTGAACCTCGCCTGTTCTTCTGTGACAGGGTAAGCCCCAAAGAGCAACACGACTTTATACTCAAGTTGGGTTCGCATTGGATCACCTTTCCGAGACTTATTCTGACCCCATGCTGCAAAACTGAGCTAATTGGTGAACGCCTTTAGCCTTAATAACAATGTTAAGGGAAATTACATCCGCGCCATGTGACCTTCTTGCACTCCCCTTTGCTCCAGGTGTGCGCCATGCAGGCCAAGGTGTCGGGCAAGATGTACGCCTGCAAGAAGCTGGAGAAAAAGCGCCTCAAGAAGAAGAACGGCGAGCAGATGGCGCTGCTCGAGAAGGAGTTGCTCGAGATGGTGAACAGCGCCTTTGTGGTGCAGCTCGCTTACGCGTACGAGACCAAGACGCACCTGTGCCTCACCATGAGCCTCATGAACGGCGGCGACCTCAAGTACCACATCTACGAGATTGGCGAGCCGGGCCTGGAGATGGCGCGCGTCCTTTTCTACGCCGCCCAGATCACCTGCGGCATGCAGCACCTGCACGCCCTGCGCATCATCTACCGCGACATGAAGCCCGAGAACGTGCTGCTGGACGAAGCGGGTCACTGCCGCCTCTCCGACCTGGGCCTCGCCGTGCTGCTCAAGGACGACGGGAAGAACATCACACAGAGGGTGAGCGCCGGAGAGGAGGTGGAGGACGACGATGACCTAGGCGGAGGGCGTATGGTGTTGCGGTGTCGGCGGAAGGATCGGAGAGGGAGAATTGTAGACTCTAGATTTGAAGCTTTCGTGACAGCAAGGATTCATACTCTTAGTTTTTTCGGTAAAGTCACGTCGGTAAAAAATTAAAATTAATAAAAAATAAAATAATAATAAATCACGACGTTTTAGAGGCAACACAAGTCTCCGTCATCAGGTGGGACCGTCACAGCCAGATTTGCCGTATCAGCAAATCTGGCTGTGACTTTACCGAAAAAACTAAGAGTAAGAATTGTAGACGTTGCAGTGGGTTTAACTCTCCAGCACACCACCACCGGTGCGCTGAACTGGTAGCTAATTGGCACGTTTTGGTTACGTGACGCAAACTTTTACGAATTGGCTGTGTCGGGTGGTCACGGGCTTAACGACACACATTTAAATTTAACGCGATCCAACCCCCACCCCCCCCCCCCCAAATAATCCTTTATTAACGAGGGAAGTTGGTGGCAAATGTTATTTTTATTACACCTGAACTTAGCTGGAGGAAACTTGTTCGATTTGGCTCAGCGGTGGAACGGGTGAGGTTGCCATAACGAAGATTGTATTGTGGACCAAAGCTCCCCTTGGTCGCCACACTCGCTGTGCGCTAACTTTGACACTGATAGATTATTATTACGACACTTTGATAGATTATAATGACCCTGGACAGATTGTGATCACTCGGCCGCTGGTCGTAGTGCTGACCCTGCTGGCTTCTATCGACAATGTCGCGTCGACAGCTCGCTGTGACGATGACGGCAGTGCTAAGTTCACAAACAGAGGAACCGGCGCACACGAAATCATTTTATTGACTCGAACCTCGCGTAGGATTGGGATGGTTTAGTTTTATTTGTATGTGTTCGGGTGATTACTTCATCTCTCTTGTACTTTGCACTCCTGTAGTGTTTTATGCCAATTCAAATCCCCCCTTCCCCCCCGCTGATCAGGCTATTTCAATCTGATTGGCTGTTTCGCTCGGTCAATCAGGGCTTATCCAGAGCTTTCCAACTCAGCTAATGGGAGGCTCCCCACATCGTATTTGAACCGCTGAGCTGTTGAGAGCTAAGCCACGAACGTCGGTGGTAATTTATTTATTTAAAAAAAAGTTTTGCCTCTCGACGTCGCCACAGTTAGTGGTGGTGATGCTGATAATGACGTTTCATTCGATTATCCCTTAGACTATTGTTATCATCGTGTGCAGTGCCGGATTAAGCTAGTACGGGGCCTGTAGCATATGTTATAAAGGGGTCCTAAATAAAAAAAAACACATTAATATTAAAATAGTAAAGTTATTGTATGTTTTTCATTTACTATACAGCCAGATAATACGATGAATCGCTAATCTTAAACACACAGTCGTTCATAAAAGTTGAAGGCAGTATAGTACTATAATAATAGAGCAAGTGCAGAATCACTCAACCGGAATTGATAGCTTGTGCTGGCTGTACCGGTTGTTGTCGGTGAACACAAATAATCACTATAATAGAGGTTTATTGTTTTTTGGGTTAAATTGCGTAAATATAAATGTGTCTCGTTACACCCGTCACCACCCGACGCAGCCAATTAGTAAGGTTTGTCACGTTTACTCTCCAACACACCGGTGTGTTGAACTAGCAACGAATTGGCATGTTTTGTTTACGTGACAAACCTTACTCAATTGGCTGTGCCAGGTTTAACGACACATTTATATGGATGCGATCTAACCCAAAAAAAACCCTCTATTGTCGATAATATTGGTCGCGAAAGTCAAGGTTTTAAACTGACAAATTATTATGACGACGCTTCGATATAGGTAGTTTAATAAAAATTCATTTATAATTATTTAAAAAAGGAATTGCCTCTTGGCGTCGCCACAGTAGTGCTGGTGACGCTCGATATTGACGTTTCATTAGATTATGACTTAGACTATTATTATTATTGTATGGATAACGCTGGCTGTGCCAGTCATCGGTTAACACTCATAAACACGATGACGCTTCGATATAGGTCATTACAACGATGCCGGCAATACCTGCTGCATTCGTGATGTGGTGACACTGATAGCTGATAGCCGAGATGACGCCACGGTAGCGAGATGTTAACTCCCTCGCCCGGTATACAGGAGGTCGTGTTATTTAGATCCCGATCCTGACGCCTGCTGTATATTTGGAGTTTGCGGTGTCTCTCTCTCTGGCCGTGGTCGCGTGGATTTTCCTCCGGCTCCTCGGGTTGGTTTCCCCCCTTCACGTTTAGAATGAACGTCACGCCGTTTAGAGAATTTGGCCGCAGCTTATGAATGTCCACACGACGATAAGCTGCTTAGTTGACCTGTCACCTGTGGCCAGGTCGCTTCCGACAAAGGAGCTGCATAGCTCAGTGGGCCTTACCTGCTGCCATTTTTTCATAATAACAAGAAGAATTTTATCTTCTTGGTTCTTTCGGTAAAGTCACGTAGAAGGGAAATAATAAAATAATAAAACATAAACATAATAAAATAATTCTCACGACGTTTCGGCCACAACGCAAGCAGCCGAAACGTCGTGAGAATTATTTTATTATGTTGTATTTTTATCATTTTATTATTTCCTTCTACGTGATGACTTTACCGAAAGTAACCAAGAAGATGAATCCCTGCAGTCACGAAAGCTTTAAATCGAAATTTAAGAAGAATTTTAGTTTGAGTAATTAAGGCTTCTGTTGACCACGTGCCCCACGTTAGGCTGGCACCAACGGCTACATGGCCCCCGAGGTGATCAACGAGGAGGGATACACCTACAGCTGCGACTGGTTCTCGCTGGGCTGCACCATCTACGAGATGATCGCCGGGCGGACGCCCTTCAAGGACTACAAGGAGAAGGTGGCCAAGGACGAGGTGCGCCGGAGAACGCTGGAGGACAACGTGGCCTACTTCCACCGAAGCTTCTGCCCCAACTCCAAGAACATCTGTGACCAGCTCTTGGCCAAAAAGCCGGCCAACAGGCTGGGCTGCCGGTGAGAAGCCAGTTTGATGGATTCATTACTCGGTCAGACCTTGATAGAGCAGTATTCCTTCCTTCTAAGGCTCATGGCAGGCTTACATTGAGTGGACTGCAGTTGAAAAACCATCAAGTAAATATGTATCCGAAAACAATTAAACTGTGAAGTGCAATTACAGAGTCATAGTGATCTCATTTTGCGATAATTGCCGTATTGTACGTTTCATGTCGTATCTTGAAAAAGGATTTCATCGCAATCTCACTCGTAATCTCGATCTTTTTCTCCACCACCAACCCACCACCACCAACAACTAAAATCCATGCCTAATGCCTCCATCCCTCCCATTAACCCGGCGACCTGAGTTTGAATGCCCAGCCACAGCTAACATCACATCAGAACCAGTCTTTGGTCACCTCGATAGGAATGGTCCAGCACTGCTCGGTTCTGTTTTCCCCCAGTCATGATAACTTAGCACTTAGTCACTCCACGATTTACATCCTTGTCATATTCAATTTAACCAATCTACCTACCTTCTCCACCGCCAACTGACCACCACCAACCCAAACCCTCCCCCCATGCCCCCCCCCTCACCCCCCTTCCCCCTGGCCCGTCCTTCAAACAGCGGCGACGACGACAACCCTCGCAAGCACCCGTACTTCCAGAGCATCAACTTCTTCCGGCTGGAGGCCAGGCTGGTGAATCCGCCATTCGTGCCCGACCCCGGCAAGGTGTACGCCAAGGACATCAGCGACATCATGGAGTTTTCGGAGGCCAAGGGCATCGAGATCAACGAGAAGGACCAGATGTTCTACTCGAAGTTCTCCACAGGCTGCATCCCGGCAACTTGGCAGGAGGAGATGATCGAGACGGGCCTCTTCGAGGAGCTCAACGACCCCGACCGCGTCGTGCACGTCGAGAAGGACTCCACGAGCAATGGCAACCGATCGAGCACCTGCGTCCTGCTGTAGGCCTCGCGCCCTGCCAAGCTCTGCCGCCGCTGTGTGTGCACGTGGCCTGCAAAGCGCGGCCGATGACTGACAGGGTGGGGAAGGGCAGGGGGATGAATGTGTGCTGAGAATTTTCAGCTCATTCCACAAATATCTGAAATTCAGGCTCTCGGTACAAAGTTTCGGACTCTCCTTCTTTGTGCGTGGCTGAACACCCGAAAGCAAATTAGATGTTTAGGTCGAGTTTAATTGAGCCGACTGATGGAGTTTGTGGAGGCGTTGCGCAGCTCCTCCGTTCTTCGGTCGAGCGATGGTGTGGAGCATTGGGTTGGGTAGGACACGGTCTGATACTTTATTGCATTGCCCTTTGAATAAACAACACAATACAGCCATAATACAGGTTTATTTTGGGTTAGATCGCGTAAATATAAATGTGTCGTTAAGCCCGCCACCACCCGACACAGCCAATTAGTAAGGGTTGTCACGTAAACAGAACGTGCCAATTCGTTACTAGTACAGCAACACCGGTGTGTTGGAGAGCAAATCCACAACATTTACAATCTTGGGTACGACGTTTTGCCAGTAATTACAACCGGCATCATAATGCGGACCACCAGATTTATTGAGAAATCCTCCTCCTGTTTCATTCCTTAAATAGAGGGGTAGATGTGATGACGTCACTTGTGAGCACTTCTTGCGCGAAGTGGGTGGAGAAGTAACGAATGCACATACATTACAATGGATATCCATTGCCTTGCTGGGTAATGTGCATGGTAATCAACGTACATTGCGCATGCATATGACAGCATCGCCCTTTGGTTATCCAGGATATTCTCAGGAGGGTCCCACATTGAGGGTTGTTTTGGGCCGTTTCTGTTGATGAGCGTTTGGCTTCATCGTGTCGGGGGAAACCCGGAGTGCCTGGAGGAAACCCACGATGCACACAGCCTGGAGTAACGCTTAAAGCGCTGCACAGATAGATTTAAGAAGTCATTGCTGACGTGCTGCCACCTGTCCGCTGTGGAGCTCATCATGAGGCTTGTGGATCAGAATGTGCGACTTGGGGCATTGGTGTTTGAAGTAATTTCCGCTTCTTGGAAATTAAATACTGAATATAAAACGCAGTGAAGAGAGACATTTAAGCAATATATGGCAGATCGATGATATGTATAAATATCTATTTATGAATAAGTACATAACAGCTAAAATATGTTATATATGTGTACAAACTCAAATTAATATATAACCGTATGTAAAATCAATGCACCAAAGGTGCTTGGCAGTGAGTGGCTCCATATGGTATTTAGACTGAAAACTTTCGTGACTGCAGGAATTCATATTCTTGGTTCTTTCGGTAAAGTCACGTGGGTAGAAAACAAAAGTCTAAATTAAAAGAAAAAAACCCACGACGTTTCGATCGCAACACAAGCGGTCTTCTTCAGGTGGAAATAAAAGAAGAAGACCGCTTGTGTTGCGATCGAAACGTCGTGGGTTTTTTGCTTTTAATTTAGATATTCTTAGGTTTTTTCGGTAAAGTCACGTAGGTAAAAAAATTAAATTAATGAAAGTAAAGTAAAAATAAAATAAAAATCACGACGTTTCGGAGGCAACACAAGCTTCCGTCTTCAGGTGGAACCGTCACAGCACGATTGCTGTATCACTTGATATTTTACTTTTATTAATTTAAATTTTTTACCTACGTGACTTTACCGAAAAAAACCTAAGAATATGAATCCTTGCAGTCACGAAAGCTTCAAATCTAGAATTTTAATTTAGATATTTGGTTTCTATCTACGTGACTTTACCAAAAGAACCAAGAATATATATGGTATTTGGTCCTTATTTCTAATTAATGTACAGCGTTATGGGATCCTGTTTGCTTGAATGACGCGATATAAAATGAAAGTCTTATTATATCATGTGTACAAGATTTTAATATAGCGATCTCTGTTCTGAGCAATAGTCTTGTTTGTAGCTATACGCTTGTTGTGCAATGACAAGGATTAGACGGAATTGCGTGTTGTCATCAAACTGAACGTGTGTTAGTCAGAATGGCAGTGTCTTATTTATGTATAGTGTGTATATAGTCGTCTGCGTTCAGTCAGCCTCTCTCTTGTCGATACAGAAACGATGTAGTGCCAAGGACACGGAACAACTTTGCAAGCGCCGCGACTTTCCCCTGGCCCCTACGCTGAGCACACACACACACGCAATGCACACACACATACACACATACACAAAAGATAAGATCCCCCGTATAGCCTTAACAGACTGTAGGGGCAAGTGCTGTTAGCGAGCACCTATGAAGGCCAGCACGGCACACGAGGGGGTGAGTGGCCAGCATCACGCCCGACCGCCTTTGTCTCCCTAGTGGTGATGTTTAAACACCTCACCAGGTACTCATTTGAGGCTGAGTCGACCTAGGGGAGGCCCAGGACCGGTTCAGTTAATCGTCACCGATGTTGGCCGTGAGCGGGAATCGAACTCGGGTCGCCAGGTTGGTAGCGCAGCGCGCTAACCGCTACACTACCGCTCCCCTACACACACATACACACACACATACACACATACGCAGCGCACACACGGAGTGTCCTGGCGGGGGGTTGCCTGGCACATCGGGTTTTAATCCGAAGGGCCCCTAGAGAGAAAGTCCCACGGTTTCCCGGTGCCAGGAGATTGGCCGACCCTCGCAGGACAGGTTCCATTGCCGTGCCCCTAAAAATTGGCTTAACATTGTGTGGGCGCAGAAAGAAAAGGTTCACTGTGCCAACCGCAATAAGTTATTCACGACATTGGGGGAGGGGGGGACTGAGGGTGGAATATTAAGCGAGAAAAGCATGAGGTCAGGAGAACCGCAGCGCCACTGCTGACCCCCGTCTCGGCCCTCATACCGAATATGCACTCGCAGGCTGTGTGTTCGTCAGCCGGGCACCCTTCCAGATACCCAGCAACGAGAGGAGAGACAATGGGTGGTCGGCGCTGTCTCCGCGGCACTCGACGGAGGACACGGTAACAGTGGGGCGGTAACCACAGGTAGGCGCACGGTTGGTCGCGCGGTACAAACGCCATCCCGGCCCTTGGAAGTGAGGGGATTAGGCCCTGGGAGAGAAGTTCCAAAGCTTCGACGGTGCAGGTAAGCGCACGATTGACTGCGCGGTACGATGTCACCCAGGGCCTTTGAAGTTTAGGAAATAAAAAGAGGAGCCCGGGACGATTTTCGCTCTCTTGTCTTCAACCTCCGGGCCGTCAAGACCCACTCCCTGCCGTCCTGCCTCCTCGAGCCGCTCGCAGCATCCGTGTGATGCCAGCGAGTGCTGCTACGTGGCAGTGATAGGTCAAATTTTCTCTCGTCCTTCTCCCTCCGAATCTCAGAGCGTCCGTGCGATGCCGTGAGTGCAGCTTCGGGGTACGTGGTAAGACGTTTGAGCGAGTAGGCAGAGTTAGGCTAGGCTCTTCTCGCGAAAGATTCCCCCTCCAGGTGTGTGTATTTGCGGCGCGAATAAAAGTTGGCACAGAGCATCGGTGTGGTGTCGGTGATTTGTGTGTGGAGCGACTGCGTGCGCAGCGACACGTTGCGAGAGGAGTGAACGCGGAGTCGCAGCGAGTGCGTGCGTGTTAGGACATAATCGCCCGCAGGTGCGCGCGCGTTCACGCCGCCGCCGCGTTCGCGTTAGCCGTGGTGTGTGCGCGTGTGAACAGGGAATCGCCCGCAAGGTGTGGGTGCGGTCGTGCAGCTGTGCACCGTGTTGGCGTGAGAGGCGGTGTAAGAGGGCGTGTGCGGAGTAACCCCGGGCAGCAGTGAGCCAGCGCTACAGCCTCCTCCCTCAGAGAGGGCGCTAGCGCGGTGGGGGGGGGATCACCCGGTCGGCGGGGGCCCGGCGGGAGCCGATCGACGCGGTGGAGGAGGGAGCGGAGGGGGCAGACGTTGCACCCCACCTGCCCAGCGAGGGCGGTGGGGTGCACGTCGGCCCCCACAACGACTGTGAATCCAACTATATGTCTTAGTGCCATGCCGACACACCCCATGCCAATGTCCCGCTCATATAAATGCCTTTCTCTCTACCAAACTTTCATTCATTTTAGTTTTTCTCGTTTTTTTTTGCCATTTCCCGCCGACTTTACTGTTGCCGGCGTCGCGTCACGAGATGGAGAACTCATTCGCATCTCCCGCACGGCAGCGCCAACTCTTCCTGCAAGAGAATCTCCCCGCAAGAAGTAGAGCTCGCATAACTACCCTCTAAACCCAACGTACGCTGAGCGGCGCGGTGAAGGATGGGCCAACAGCCTCCATGACGAGCGTGGCGTGGAGAAGCGTTCGTCCAGCACTGGATTGGACACAAATCTTAATTTATTTTAGTTTTAAATCTTGACTTAAAGCTTTCGTGACTGCAGGAATACATATTATAAGGGTCTTTCGGTAAAGCCACGTAGATGGAAAAATAATAAAAAATATCACGACGTTTCAATCGTAACACAGCCATCGTGTCGCGATCGAAACGTCGTGATATTTTTATTATTTTCCTATCTGCGTGGCTTTACCGAAAGACCCATTGAAGCATTATTTAAGCTTTGTCGTTTTTCCCCAATTATATCCTGATTTTCTGCTATCAGCCTCACGGGACGCAAAGTCCTGCCGGGCAAAGCGACCCGTCGCGTTCGAGAACGGTCCGCGGAAGTAGATGTCGCAGAACTAGCTCTGAAATCCCAAATGCACGTGACCTCTGGTCACCCACTCTGCAACCGAGAGTAGTGTGTGTCACGTGACAGGCCGTATTCGATTCACGAACTGCAATTTAGCGATGCGACCCAGAAGATTGAAAACCGGTGAAGTGCAATGCTGCTGAATGAACAGAAGCACAGACACCCAGTCGCGGTAGTGAATTTAAACAAAAATATGTGAAGCGATGAAAGGAAGTTTGCTTATTTATATCATTTATTGGCAACTGATATTCGTGGCCAGGAATAGAACGCGTCATTTGGTCTGGGTGATCAAGTGGTCCAGGTATTTAGCGGCACATCGC